GGTGGGTGGGGCGGGGAGCGTGCCTCGGGTCTCCAGCTCGGCTCCTGAGGCAGGGGCAGCCGCTGCAGAGGCAGAACTCCGCAACTGCGAAGTGCTCCGGCCGGCTCCGCATCTTCAGCCCGGGAAGTATAACCGTAAGTCGCCGCGTCGCCGTACCGGGGCTGTTGCAAGCTGCCTCTACCTATTTCGGGTTTCGAGTTCAGCGCTGCCTAGTTCACGCCCTCCTGGGTCTCCGACTGGGTCGCTTACGGTTGTGCCTCCGCCCGCGAAGGAGGATTGTCCGCCTTTCTGGTCTCCATCTCTGAAGGGGCAGCACCGTCTGCCTGTCGCTTGAGCTCTTTCTCCCGGCGAATCTGCCAGCGCCTTTGGGTCTCCCCGGCGCGTCCCATCCTCCCCATCTAGATGCCTCTCCTTGTCCCTGCCCTCTAAGGATCTCTGTCCACCCTCTTACTGTATGTGTAACCCGGAGCTCACAGCCGAGGGTCCCGGCCCCTCCTTTGAGATGTGAAAAGCCCGGGGTTCTTCCGACCCCTGGCTCCAGAGGGTGATGAAAGTGCTCGGCTGGGCTGCGATGGGTGTGAATTGGGTGCAGATGGCTCCGAGGACATTTATTTTTGCAGCTTCAGCAACCAAAACAAAAGAATGGGGCACAGCGCTGCACCCTCACCCCCATCTCTTCCTGTATATAACCTGTTTTTCTGTATGTAGCTGTTGGAGTCGCTGGTAACTGTAACTCGAGCTGTCATTAAGCATCTCCTGAGGAGGTTTTGAGAATTACCCTCTCAAGCGCCACATGAAATGGCATATTGAACAATCATGTGTTATCATGAAGACCCATTCCATAACAGCTCTCCTAGTAGATCTATTAAATGAATGTAAAAACAAAAGTCAGATGTTTCAAATAGTGTTCTGGATGCCTTTAGGTAATTTTTGGTGGTTTAGATTTATATCCTCTTAATTTATGAATGGTATATGTATGTATGTATGTATGTATGTGAGTGGTGAAAATCTGCATTGGAAGGTTTTGCTTGGTCAGTGGAAAACTTACATAGTTGTAACAAAAATTCTTAGCACTAAGGTTGTTTAAAAGAAATGTTAAATTATATCTGATAAAATATTATTTTAATTTCTAAGTTTCAGAGAAACCTTTCTGCCAATTTGTATTCAGCCACCTACAGGTGTTATACACCTTGGTGTCTGTGACCTTTCTGCTACTTGGTCATTTTTATTTATTTTTTAAACTGTGGATATATATAGAAATCTATATCTAGATTTTGACCTGGGTATTTGTTTTTTAAAGTGCTACTGTAGAACTTTCCAGAAACTAGATTTTAAAATAGTTTTAATGTCAGTGAGTAGATGTTAGCTTGTAAGTGCTTTCATGCATTTGATACTTCTCATGGCAGTATAGGAAGCACATTCTAATTTAAGAATAATTTACAAATAACTTCCCTCAGCATTGTACATTTATTATTCTGTAAATCACCATAATGTAGACTCTCATAATGTAGATTGCTGTAGCTTTGGTAAATTTTTCCTTGAAAAATTACATTTTGTTAAGTTAGATGTGTTTATTGATCACCTTCCCCCCACACCGTCTCTTCCCAGCTTTTGTGTCACTACTTTGCTCACAAATTTTACTTTGAAATAAACAGGAGTTGTCGCTCCAACTGTCTTTTTGAAATATACTTGCTTACTTCAGAAGCCAAGTGCTGTGCAGAGTTGAATGTATATTATTAGGTGTGTGACTTTTGCTTTTTTGTAAAAATCTGTTCTGTTTCCAAACAAGAGGAATGGAGTGCTGTAATGAGGCTGTGGGCAATCACTTGGAAAGCACTTTTAAAATTCTTGGCATTAAGTCCACTGATCTCCTTTTGTCCTTTAGTGTTGGTTGCGGACTGACTATAGGATCCAATTTTTCATATTACACTCCCTTGCCCACTGAATTGGGAAATTTGAGTTTCAACAAAAAGGCATGGAGTCTTTGCAGACTCCGCCCTAACAGTGGGCTCCAACAAGTGGCTGCTGAGACAAGGAAGAGAAGTTTTGTTCATTACTCTTACTCTGGTGGCCCTGCCCATTTAGTTTTCTTCTTCCTTTTCTGGAATGTTGTGCTTGAACCTATGAAAGTGATTTAATTGTATTTGCACCTGCGTGTAGGTAAAAACTCAGACTAATTTTCTTGTGCAGGTACATTAAAAAAACTCTAAAACTCACTGCCACCAAGTCAGTGTCCACTCATAGGACAGGATAGAACTGCTCCAGTGAGTTTCCGAGACTATGACTTTTTATAGGAGTAGAAAGCCTTTTCTTTCTCCCATTGAGTCACTGGTGGCTTTGAACTGCTGACCTTACAGTTTACAGCCCCAACACGTAACCACTATGACCCCAAGGCTCCTGTTAAAGAAACTGAAACCAAAACCACTGCTACTGAGTCACATCTGACTGTTTGTGGTCTTGTGCAGTGGTTCTCAACCTTTCACAGGGGTCGCCTGATTCACAGCAGTGGCAAAATGACAGTTATGAAGTAGCAGGGAAAATAATTTTATGGTTGGGGGTCACCACAACATGAGGAACTGTATTAAAGGGTTGCGGCATGAGGAAGGTTGAGAACCGCTGCTGTGTAGGGTTTCCAAGACCACCTCCCCACACACAAATTGAGAGATGCTTGTTCTGAAGGGGAATTTCTATGCATGGCCCTAAAAATGCTTAGGTATTTTATTTTCTTAAAATTAACTTGCTAGAGAATAGTAATTTCTGGACTCGGCATATTTTTCAGACAACCTCAGGCTGCAATCTCTTTTTATCTTTCCCCAGATAATTTACTTTTGTACTCACTTTATGCTCAGCAAGCCTTCATTGAGCACCAGACACTATGTGTGTCAGCTATTGTGTTAGGTGCTGGGATGAAAGGGTGGATAGGTCAAGATTTGTTTCTTTGTTATATTGACCAATCAGGATACTTGACAGTGATTCCACCAATCTGTTTTTATAGACTGCTCAACTCTGTATGCCATTTGACCTTATCTTAAGACTGCTTAACATTATTTCTATAAAAACAATAGAAAACTAGAACTTACTGAGTGTATAATTTGTGCCAACCACCATGCTAAGTACTTTTATGTACATTATTTAATTCTGAGAACAGTCCATATAGATTCTAGTTTATATAGCTTCCTAATGTGGTTTGCTTTGTAATATGCTAGGAAAGATTTAACTATTCTTAGGGGAAGGCACCGTAATATAGTCATAATACAGTGTTAAATTCTCTAATAATATTTGACTAGAAAAGTTATAATTTCATAGACAGTATTTTTGTGTATTTATATACCAGCAAAATGAAATGTTCAGTTATTGCTTAGATCTCTGACAAGACTTAGTGCTGGCTTTATTGTGACTAACTAACATAGCTCTTTGGCATATACAACTTCTTTTCTTTCTTTGTAGCAATGAGACCAAGAGTTCGTAAAATGTTTTTTCAAAATGTGTATTATCCAGAAAGGATAGAGAAATTAGTTATATGAAATCTACTCAGCTTTTTTAAAGTTTGAATTTAATTTTCTTCGGTATCTGTTTGCCTTGGGGAATTGTAGTTTCTATAAGGAAAATTATTCATTCTACCAGATTTAAAAATTATCTAAACAATTTATTAGTAGGGTATATGCTTTTTCAGCATATCACATGATTCCATTGAATATTAGGGAAATTCAGGAAGTTTGTGGAAAAACTCTGAGTGAGTTTATTGTACCAACCTGGCCGATAAACACATGTGGGATTAATTGAAGGATGGAGGGATAAATGGCTTGGTGAGCCGCCTTTCGAGTTCTCCGGTCTCTTGATTTGTGATGGTTGCACCAGGGTGCAGATGCCTTAGCAGTTCCCAGCTTCAGCTGGCAAGGCTGTCTTTCTGCAAAACATCCCCAAGGAGAAGCCACATGGACCTACCCTGATGCAGCCCTGGGTGCTGGAGCACCTGTGTAGAGACCCCTGCCAGCGCTGAGATGTTTCCACGTTCACTGACTTGGCTTTCCTCCTGCAGTTGGCATCATTGCGTCTGCTTTGTGAGATGGAGGAGTACTTTGTGGATTGGTGCTGGACATATGGGTTAATGGGTGAATGTTGGACTTGTGGGCTTGGGCAGCACTGAGTTGGGATGTTTTCTTGATGCACAGTTAACCTTTATATAAAACTCTCTCTTTTACATGAGTTTTTGTGGATTTGTTTCTCTAAAGTCTCCAGACTAATACAAACTCCATCATCTTTTAATTCAATTTTCCACAAGCTTTTTGAAGCCCTTAGACCTTGTAACCTGTGGTCACCTTTTTAAAAAGAAGATTTTTCAAACAAACAAAAAGATGCTTTTTCACTTTCAATTTACAGAAGTTGTAAAAACCTACTTTTTATTTAAAAACCTTCTGGGTTCTTTTGTTGATTTGTTTTGCTAAAAACTGTTAACTTATTTTTTAGACTTAAGTCCTTTTACTGGTTGCTTTTGGGTTTGTAGAGAAGGTAGAATCTTCCGATTTCCTAAGAAAGATAATCTTGGATATTTTTCAATTCTTAGTTTTTATTTTATATATAAAACCGTAGCCTTTCCTTTTCAGTATAGTAGAATCCTTGATACCCAGGTCCCTATATCTTCTGATTCACATAGTATCGGGGTTAGAATTCCTGTCCAAGGACTTAACACTCACTAAATTATAAAGATAGGACTACAAAGGTAAAGAAGTTTTGATGCCTTTCCTAACCGAGGTATAAAATGCCCATTGAAAATCGATATGAAGAGAAAGGAAAGTTCATTCAAAATGTTGAGGTGCTGTAAGTTCTCTCTCCAAGGAGGCATAAAAACACTGCCCTCATTGTTAACTATATTCTCTCCTAGTGTTATAGCAAAGGGAGGTACGTAAACAAACATAACAAGCCATGGTTTTTGTTCTGTTTCCTGGCATTGGACAATAGCTGATTCACACGTGCTTAACTACATGTTCTATTATCATGTCTCTATTTTAGATTAAAATATTATTTTGAAATACTTTCAAACTTACAGAAAAGTTGCCAAAACACTATAAAGAACTTGTATTTTCCCCCATTGGTAATATTTTATTGCATTCTTTCATTGCCTTCCCTCTTTCTG